GTTGATAAACCTCATCATCAAAGTACTCAGCTCCTTCCTCATCATTGCGGTCATACCTAGCAACTCTTCTAGCTCCTGGGAACCGCTTTGAGATTGTCCTTGCACCTCTTGGAATCTTTGAGATCCTACATCCTCAAATTGTCCTGGTCTACTTGATTTGGATCTCAAGCCAAGTTCTTCAAGTGATATGCCATCATCCACAAGTTCAACTTCCTGCTGTTCTTCATTTTCAAGATCTGAAGAACGTGGTGTAGCTTTTCCTACCTGAGAACTGCTTGGATCTGAAACCTTTGGATTCCAGGTGCTCTCACTACTTGAGTCACCAATATCTGCATCTTCCCATCTGCATCTTGTTGAGGGTTCTGCGCTGGTTGCGGTTGTGGCTGCTGCGCTTGCATTGGGCCTCTAGGTCTACCTGGAGTTCCTAGTAGCCTGCCTGGAGTTCCTGCCTGAATAGCTGGGGTACCAGCTGCAATTGGCAAGGGAGTAAGCAAACCTCCTCTAGGGAAAGCTACTTCTTCTTCCCCATCTGCAATTCCTGGTGCTCGTGAACCTGGCGCAGGCAGTGATTTCCTGGGCACAACTCTACTAGCAAGGGTAGTAGTTCTCACATTGCATGGGTGAATTCCTACTGACATGACTGCTTTAGGATCAAAATGCTCAGAACAAATTTCACAGTCCTGCACGCCAATAGCCCTTGAGGACGCCAAGCCAAGTACAAATCATTGTCATTCTTTCCTAAAAACACACCTCGGGACCTATGAGCGTCACCTTACCTTCTTTTAGGATTGGTGCTGATAACATGAAACAACAGGCTTTCACCATACTCACACAACATTCCTTGAAGAGGAGTACCAGCGCAGAGTTCAGTTGGCGTCATTCCTGTGCCACTGTGAACATGGAATCTGTGAAGTATCCATCCTGCGCGAGGAAATGTACAGGATGAGTATGGGGTATTCCTACACGACATCTAGCTTGGAGCGCTTGCACGAATGTGACTGCTTCTCCTAACTGTCTGTGTTGCTCGTTCCGCCAAGCCGTTGCTCTTGCTTATTCCTGCTACACTTTCCCGCAGATAAGTAATATAGCCCATTTGAGAACGTTTCTTCCTGATGGAGTTCTTGAGCGCTGTCATAGAATTCTCATTGTCACCATGAAGACTGATGGTCGGACACTGAAGAAATGATGTCACGCGTGCTACTGTTTCTGCCATGTAGTCTGTCAAGGCTCTTCCTTTGCTGGCTACGGGAGTAGCTTGGATCATCCTGCTCTACGAGGCGATTGCTACTAAGCAAATAGCCGTTGGTTCCTCTGACAAGCTTGTAGCCGTAAAGCAGTAATCCATTGCAATTGTTGGTTTGGAACTTTGTTCCTTACCAGTCTCGACTGACTTCTTGTGTGGCTTTTCTTTTCCTTTAAACGCAACGCGAAAAGGACACCATGACTTGTACGCTAAATGAATAATGTTGCGGTTGGCAACTTCCTCATCACTGGGCCTTTTCATTTTCTGACAATGACAAGGACTCAACAGGAGACTCATATTTTCCTGAGCTGTAGCAAGGGTCTCAATGGCCTCACTAAGTTTCCTACTCAACCTTTAAGCAAATCCTTCTTGGAATCATGTTGGGACACCTTGAGTTCATGAAGTTCTCGAACGCTTCGTAGGTGACGTAGCATTCGCCATACGCTTTCCTGGTGCCATCAAGCTGATCCAGTTGAACTGGAATTCCTGGTCAGTCCTGTGGCAAGAATAGAAACCTTCTCGGATTGAAGTGATATCGAAACACTTCCATTCCATCATGGCTGATGCTCCAGTAGTCCGTCTACCATGTTGGGAACAATCTGGCTCTTAGGTACAACAGTTAGGACAATTCCTGGCTCACTAGCTGATAAACGTTCAAATGGATCTTCCCTTTCAGAATAAAAGCCATTGTACTCAAGCACTTTCCCTGGTTCATTGGGCTCTTTGAGTAACGTGGTCCTGTAAGGATACTCATCACAAGAGTACATCATGCTTGGATCTTGATATGAGACTTCCTCAAATCCTAAGTGAACATGAAAATCAGCTAACTCACGCCAACCTGGGTGCCCTGGTGTAACAAGTTCTTTCAAGAAAGTACACAGCTGAACTGGAATAGGCGCTTGTGCTTGTGGGCCTGAATGACTCCTTCTCACGTGAGCAGTAGTAGCAAGTGAGTTGTTCTTGTACTGAACTGGAAAACTGCTCTCTTGATCTTCACGGAACATTGATCCTTCTCAGTTCCTTGAAAGTTGCCAACCGCTTTGAAACTTTTTTTCTACAGCCAACAGTGGGTCTAGTACATTAGCAATCAAGAACACTTCCTCCATCTTCACCTGATTTCCTTCACCGTATTCAAGCATAGTTTCAGTGCCTCGGGAATCCTGAACTGTGTATTGCCTCCTTGGGCGTCACGTAATGTCCACTTTGCTGATGCTGGGGCTTTCCTACCAAAAGTTCTTCATCCAGCTGGACGCCAATGACACATCTGCTCCTGAGTCAAGTATAAGCTCGACATGTCGCGATGTCCTTGAGTTGCGGCAATCATGCGTACATGTTGCACATCATGTCCCTGCTCTGCATCTGCTAGTTGACATGCTTCTTCTCTCTTCATCTGTCTCACTCTCTGAGTACCGTTGCCCTTTGCCTTTCCACTTGCCTTTTCCGTTACCTTTCCAACCTTCTACAGGTCATACATCCATGGCAGCTTGACCACCATGATCATTTCCAGTTCTTTGAATATCAACAGTAGTTGGTTAAATCCATCTTTGGGATCCCTCATACCTAAGCAAATAGGTCTTCAGGTCCTCATACTTAGTGTTTTCATTCATGTTCAACAACAAGTGTTGCCTAACATGTTGAGGGACTCCGTCTACCAAAGTTCCTATCTTCAAGGACTCTGACAAACTCTTCAAGTAGTTCCTCAAACTTGAGAACGTTCTCGCGGTAGCCAGCTTCCTTGAAAAAGCGGTAGTTCATGATATGCCCTGTAGTTGTAGCGACCAAGCCTTGGTTGCAAGGGCATTAAATTCCAGAAGTTGTCGATATCCTTCTAATCCATTCTGCTGGGTAGTAGCGTGTAGAACACGTTGAGTCGATTCTTGGAATAGCCGCTGACGATGCCGTAGAGCCGCTTTGAGAGTGCTTTTCCGTCATCTGCATACGTAGTCATATCCATTTTCTCTGTCGGGTCCTTTCCTACCACATCCCAAGCTTGAAGTGATTTTGGATCAACCACTATAACCAAGTCTTCAAACTATGCCTGAAATCAAGCCAATTTTATCTTTCTTCCTGCCGAGTAGTTGGTGCGAATACGTCTGGGGCTTTGATAAGCTTGTGGGACTCAACCTCAACTGGCTCTCTATCTTCTCCTGCGCATCCACAACTCTTTGAACTTCCTGTGTAAACATGGAATGTGAACTAGCAATTCCTTTACCTGTTGATTTGTGTGTTTCTGCAATGATTTCAATTAGCTTCTGCTCTCCGTCTGCTGAAGCTCCTGCATGTGAGGCCATTGCTGCTGCGAGATCACTCACTGTTTGTGACGAAGTTGATTGTTGTAAAGATCTTGCTAGTTCCTGCACTTGCGCTGCTGTCTGCTGAGACTGCGGCAGTAATGCATGCATTGCCTGATCCATTGATGTTGCAACCTGTAGGTTGCTGTGCAAACAAACAATCTTTCCTACATGCTGCTGCAGCTTTCCTTCTCTTCCTTGAGAGCTTCTTTCTGCTTGCTCTGAACAAAGTGTTCCTATGAGCAATGTAAAAAAGAGTGACCCAAGTAATCATTCTTAATGCAATGCATCCAAACGAGATACATCCTACAACTGCAACATGAATTCCTCTAGGACTGTGTGAAACTTTTCTACTGAGTACTCAAAGGCGTAACCTGGCACAAGGCTCCATACTGACCACGTAGAGCACGATGTAATACTTTTCTTCTAGTTTAAACATTGCAGTTGTTTTCTGGGCAACGAAGGGGACTAGCAGTTGTTTTCTGGGCAACGAAGGGGACTACTTGTTTTCCTGTTCCTTTTTAACCAATTCTGGTCCATGTTGTTGTTCCTGATCATGTACATGTTCATGAAGTCCACATAGTTCTCCTCTAGGTTCTCAAAGACATCGGGTTTTTTGCGTTCCTGCGCACAAACCATAGCGACAACAGTTCTGCGTGATCTTGTTATTCTTCTTGATCTTTCTCTTGTCTTCTGCATTGCTCTAGCAAGTTGTTTCCTCGAACTTGTTATTGTCCTTCGCTGCGTCGACATCTTCTTCCTACGACGGCTATTTCATCTTCAAGGCTAGTCTTCCGAATTTCCTGACTTCTGCCACAGGATGAACAGCCCTGTCCGTGACATGCACGTCGCCTTGTGGTAGGCTTTTCCTGTACGCACTGCTATGCATAATTCAGGCATATAGTGCGTGACCAGAAATCGTGAGTTTTCAAATGGCACCAGCAAACTGTGAGTACTGTCATTCCTGTAACCCACACAGCAATTCCTGCTGTTGCCATGGTTTGTGGCAACATCATTGCTCCCCAATGTTCCTGGGTGAGCTCCGCTTCCTGCGCCGTTGCCTAGGCCAATGTCCTTTGCAGTTGCAAGTCAAGGGTTGAGGTTATTCATTGCAACTATGCGGTAGTACTGCTCTGCTTCAGCAGTAGACCACCATGAGTGCATGGGCCGACAGCATACCGGATTTGGCCTGAAGCTGCAAGCTCTAGGCCCGAGATTCTCCACATGGCGGTGGGTTTGACACCATGACAAAGATAAGGCTTTCCTATTCACTTCCTGAGACCAACTCGGTTCTTTTCCTTCAAGCAGCTGTGTGCTTAATGTCTCTCCTGAGCCTATATGTTACACAGTTACACATGCACTGCTGTTCCAGCACATGCAACAAGACTGCTGGACCAACCGTTCCTTGGCAGTAATGTTTAACAAAAAACGAATCCAACACACGTCTCGTATGCAAGCGAGCAATGCTAGACACCTCGGATGCTTTGCAATTGCCATCTGGCCTTCACATCCACCGCCACAGTCTTGGGTCCCATTGGTGGGTCATCGCTGGTTTCGGACAAGTCAAGGGGCCGGCGGAAGGTGGAGACGAAGTCCTCGCACGCTCAGTTTATCTTCGTTGCCCCAGCTTTAGTCCAAACTGTCGAGCTTTCAGCTTTTAAGGATGTGAACTCTATTGAACCACTGCTAACATTTCCTTTTGCTTCCTCTGATTCCTACTTTATTGCAGAATGTGTGCCGTTGCAGGCTTCTAGCTCGCACGAAGGAGAATTTTGTGCGGCCTTGCGGATTTAGACCGAAGCTCTGGAGGCCTCCCGCACTCTCTCTCTCTCTCTGGAAATTCCAGGTCCTCGTCTTGCGGCAGCGGTCGACTGCTTCGGAAATAAATGCCACTTGTTTCAGCATCTAAATCGCCAACTTGTTCGAGCCTGTTTGGGTCACTCATGTATTTGAAGTCCACGGTTGGGTCAAACACCCCGACACCTCGAGTCTTGGAGCGGTGCTGCCACGCTTGGAATCGCGTCTCTTCGTTTTCTTGCGGACTGGTCGTTGAGTCCTGTTCTTCTCGAGTATCAGCGCCTCGCAGCGGATGGCTGGCCTCGACGATGTTCATCGAAGCCGTCCGCTGCAAGCTCAGCGCACTGGATGCCAACCGAGCATCAAGCTCAAAGATGCTCGCATCATCCTCTGTTGGTTCATCAAGATCGATGATGCGGCCTTCGGGCGCACTCCGACGAAGACTTGCTGGCAGCAGTTCTGGCTCCAACTCAGCAAGCAGCTTCTCTCGCGGCAGTCGTTCAGGGGCAGCTGAGCCCCCAGAATTGTACGGCACAGGCGTGTCAAAGGGAACCCTTCGCAGAAACGGGAGCTCGTCTTTGACTCCTCTGGCATCGCCTGTGCTCCATACCTCTTCCATCGCTTCCTGGCTCACAATCTTGGGCGTGATGTTCACATTGTAGTGGTGAACGCCATCAAGCCCAGCTGGTGACATCGACAGCAGGTGCTTGGCATCCTCAAACGAGCCTTGCCCCACCAAGTCAGAGATTGTGTAGCCACCCTTCAGCTTCAGCCCAACAGCATCAAGCTTATTGCTGCCTCGGTGTTTGGGCTCAGGGGACATTTCTTGAATTTCGGGGTCCCTACCAGCTTGCCTTCAGGCTTGATCTCCTCCCAGCGGCCCAGCTCCTAAGAACAGCAGGCTCAGCTCAGTATATGGATCAGTTGACCAAAACAAACACCCATCCTCCGGTCCCAGCTCCACCTCGTCCAGGTCTATGCGGTGGCCTTCCGTTTGCAAAGTATGGTCAACGCTCCTGGAAATTGACGCATTCTCAAGCCATCTTCTTCGCACTCGCACCTGTAGCCACTTTACCATCAATCTCATGCAGTGCATCTGTAGAGGCTACATAGTAGGGCGTGCCTTGCAACTCACCCAGTCGACGGAAGATCCCACTGGTCTCAAGTCCTGAGTCCCACTTGGCTGGTTCTGGCGTACCGATCTGTGGGACATGTTGCCACCATTGTCGCTTTCTCCTTCAACACTGGTAGCCTAACTCCGCACAAAGATTCTTGCCACTTCTTCTCTTGTCGCATGAACTGATGATGGCTGTGGAAGCACCGCCACATGGCAGACCCTGCTTCTGCTGCAGTGTGCGCACTCACTACGATGCTCCATGTACACGAACACCAGTCGCATGAAGCTTGAGGCCCCCCTCGTTCCCACTTAAAAGCCATCTTCGTCTTGTGGTTCTGCCTTGCAATTGAATGTTAACGGGCACATGGGGCCTTGCCTTTGAAGCTGCATGTTCCAATTCCCTTGCAAACTTCAGCAGCTGACAAACTTGGAGCGGGACCAGTCATGGAGTTGAACTGGCGCACTCGAGCTTCAGAGGGCTGGCCAGGAAGATGCTTGAATCCTGGGACCACGTGTAGAAGTGTGAGCCCATAACCCACAAGCTTCTCAGGAGCTCGCAAGGATCTGTATATAGCTATAAACTGAATTCATACGTATGAAGGGCCCCTACTAAGGACTAAGACCCATACTACTATATTGATGATTGCAGGCTGAGGGCACGGGTAGCAAGAGCAAGTGACCTTGTGCTTGAAAAGCTGCCTGCCATGGGGACCTACATCCAACAGGCAGCCAAGGAGCTTCGCACCACTGGCAATTCCTGTTCAGGCAGTGTATTTCCAGCACACTACACCCATGCTTGTACGCTCATTCTCTTCAGGCACCCTCCTGAGCATCACCGATGTCAACCAGCGGGCGATCATTGTCGCCGCCAAGTGGAGCCTGGCATACCAGCTGCACGTGGGTGCAGAGTGCTTCTTAAAGGTGCGCGGTGGGCGTACTAGTACATGACTTGTGTAACCTTATCCGCTCGACACGCGCCACCTGCACAGGCAACGGCGCTGGGGAGGGGTCCGTCATCATGGGCCCTGTCGGCTGACCTGGAGAAATCCGTGTGTCAAAGGTGCGTCTTGTGAATCACGCGGTTCATCCCTGGCCGTCCTACTTGAAGCATGCCTGATATGTTTGAGCATGCAAACATGAGATTCTTTCCGCATCTGGTCTATCCTTGTGGTCGCGAACTTGGCCTGGCCTGGAACGGCACCTTCCTCCACCCAGTCCTGCGTCTGCACTGGCGGGAACTTGTACGTCTGCTAGAGTCGGCACGAGGTTAAACAGGGAAAAAAAAACAGGACAGACTTCAGCAGTCATGCGAAAGGAAAATGAAAATGCACATTGCAGTGTTCCCTTTCAGGGGGTGGTTTAGAATTAACAGGAATTCACGCGCAAAGTCAAAACTTAACCATGCCGATCCCCATAAACCATTGCAATCGTTCTGCCTCTTCTGGGTTGCAGCGAAGGATTGAAACTTTGTCAATTGCAAGTCCTTCTCCTCGCTGGAAGACACCAGTGCAGCGGCTTCTTCAACATTGGCATCGCCCTTGGCAGCATGTGCAATTTGCTGCGCCAGTCTTTGAGACGCGACACAAACAAAAACCAAGGAATATGAAACACAAGGCAAAAGCAGCATTGTGTGTGCCAGGTCTCCACATCGGCACCACTCTGCGCTAATAACTCGCGTTGTCTGGCTGTCATGCCACGGCCTGGTCTCTCCCGCATTTGCAAGGACCAAAAGGACCGAGGGGCTGATGCTGTGCACAGGACTTGATAAAAAAGCATTTCTAAGACTCTCCCGTAACACCAGGTCCGGCTTACTAGCACTCTTCATCTCTCAGAACTTGGCGGCTGAGCCCAACACAAATTACGTGCAGCTCAAGTGCTTGGTATGGGCTGCAATGTCTCTCTCATCCACTGCGGCATGGACAGGAACCTCGAGTCATCCCCACCCAGCTGCACTACCCTTGCTTCAATGGCCATGGGGAAGATCGTTCCCAGTACTCAAGGCATGCCTCAATGGCTGTGCCGCCTGGGTCTCAGGATGGGGGTCCATGGGGGATGTGCCTGGTTCACGGTATATCTCAACTGCATGCAATGCTTCAGATAAATCTAAATCCTTACCCGAAGGCCTCTCTTCAGCAGCGGTACGGCGCCGCTCCTCTTTGCCTTTTTCGTTTTCATTGGGGTTTGCAAAAAATGTTGGCTTCTGCGCTTTGACGCGGCCGGCTTGGACTGGGTTCTTGGCTGACCATTGGGACGGATTGCACACACGATGATGCAACGAAATCCAAAGCAGCTCAGCATGGCGAGCCTGACCTTCTAGAGTCATAGTCCCTTTTCTGGTGCTACAGCGTAGGCAACATCTGACTCCTGAAGCGCAAGTTGTCAGTCTTTTTTATTTGTAAGGCCCAGATATTGTTTATTGTTGCGGTGTCCATAAATAAAGGCACCATGTAAATCCCCTGTCTGAAAAGAGAAACCCTGATCAAGCTCTGCACCAAGGACAAGTGACATATCTCTCACAGCCGTCCATCATGATGCGTAAGGAGGATCGGAAGGGCGAAACGCCCTCTGAATCCCATGCCCTGTAATCACAGGCTGCGTTAAAGGTTGGACGGAAATTGATTTGGAGTCGCTCCTGTGAAAGGATTTGGAATAACCTGCACATATTTGTACGACGGCTGGCCGCTGGTATGCAATTAAGCTGCGCTTGGCCTCCCTCAGTAGCACTTCGCGCGCTGTGCCTTCCTGGACATGCAAGAAATAAAACGTGCATCAAGAATGTCGAAAATCGAAAATCAACGCTGGGTTGACCTTTACGTATTATTTCTGAGGCCGCCTGCAACATCTAGATAACTGCTCGCAAGCTGTCCATGCTTAAGCCCACGCAAGATTACGTTGCAAGAGATCCCATGGACATCAACCACCCAAGCGTCATCTGCCAACTCCACATCATTCCTTATTATGGCAACATGGCGTATCACGCTTTGATGGGCGCAGGAATTCACTCGCAACACATAGGGCATCCAAAATCTAGAATTGCTTCCTGGCATCCACACCAAACCTGGGCCATCTGCCGCAGCGATGTGCTCCTCATGCAACCCTGCAATGGCGCCAGGTGCAATTACCAAGCTTCATCCATGTGGAATGACACATGTTACCTGCTCAGGTTCACAGCGTTCGATTCAGCCCACTCCTGAAGGGCGTTGAGAAGCACGGTTGCGCTTGCCAAGTTGCCCGATGTGAAATACCAAGGGTAATGTTCAGGATGTTGCACATGTGCCCTTGCATACTGCGACATACCGAACAGCACTCGGCCAATGTGCTTGACTCCAGTGGTCATACCTGCCTCAGGGACCAGCAATCAGCAATAACTTACTGGCAGCGCATCAAAGATGCAGTCTTGTCACTTGTGCCTCTGGCGGCATCTTGAAGAACCGACAGCGTGAGCGCTTTATGCACCCCCGGCACGTTTGCGTCTCTGTCATGGAGAGATGCTGGCGAAGCACCTTGCCAGCAAAAACGATCCTTTTCGGCGCCGATTCTGGCACATGCGCGTCCAGCATTGTCTTGTCCGGCAGGGTTACCTTTACATCAACGGCAACTTGAATGACAGACTGGTTTCTCTTGCAAACTGTCTGTTCTCAAACGGTGCGCGCCAAGAAGCTGGGCACTCCATCCTGGCAGGACAGCTTCTGTGCTCATTGCAATCTTGGCACGCGGCATTCTTCCACGTGAGATATGGACGATTTCTCTAGGATTGAATGTTATTGGCCTGGCGATCGACTCCACTGCCGAGAGATCATTGTGCAAACGCTGCTCAACGAACTCCTAGCAGCCAGCGAGCAAGAAAGACTTCAACTACGGTACAACACGTCTTGGGAGCTGCCACCAATGCAACTTGCGGCATTGCCTGCTAGCAAGAACGGCAAGAACTGCCGACGAATGTACCCTTGCCAATCTTGGTCACAAATGCTTAATCTCCAAGAAATGCCACATGCCCGCAAATTTGACATTCAAAAACGCACGTGGACGTGATGATGGAAACTCGACAGTACGTCTGCAATGCCTAGCCACGGGCCTTCCAGTCGATGCGGTCGGTTGCATGGAACACGTTCCGCCGAACTTCAGCGCGATTCCCCGGCGACTGCAATTTGTAATGGACAACGCAACTGCTTCCAGTCTTCTTCATTTTTCCAGTCTTGGATTATCTTTGATATGCATCTACTTTCTGGTACTTTCTGCTTTGCCTCTTTAGCCTAGTGTAACATCCGTGCCTACAGGATACGCAATGTATCCACAAGTGCTACAGGCTTCGCGCGGCGTGTGAGCTGTTTGATTTTTCCACTCTTGTTTGATTCATGACGTTCCCGCCTTGCAGCCGCACGCAACTTCTGCAAAGCGCCCAAACTCCTGCACTGTGTCATCATGGCTCCAAAGGATCCATCTCACAGCCAAACCTGATAGACCAGGCCAGCTGGTTAGGGAGGCGTTAACCTTGCAGTTGTGAGGGTCCCATGTGCAAATCATTTACATGGTCGGCTTCTGGCTAAAGCAACCCTATGATCTCGCCATGAGACGCTGAAAGACCTGTACAAGTAAGTTGGGAACGAGAATTTCGCCGAACAGTAAACGGGGGCGCAGGTGACAGCGACTGGAACATTACGAAATCCTGCATCAACGCGAAAGCAAGCTGACGCTGCTCTGGTAGGCGGAGCTGCGAATTTGCCTGCGATTCACCATGCGGCACGGCAGAAATAAAGTCCTTGATGTTCCTTGCTAATTTCTACGTACTGCCTCAACTGCAACACCGGTGTGTGAAGTCCAGATAAAGCTCACCTCCAATCCCCTCAGCAAAACTCCACTCAGCCAAAGCTGCCCCATGCCGTTTCAGCGCGCGGAGTGAAGCGGCATAAGCACTGTTTGCTCTGACCATTGGGCATAAGCGGCACTCTGGCAACGCACTGCTGAAACTACCTGTTCACGAGCTGTAGGTACAACATCCGTGCTGTTGTACTTGAATCCCTTTACTTGTCTTTCCTTGGACCCCGCACATAATTGGCAATTGGCGAGGCGCATCTTTACACCAAAGTTCGGCGAAGCCTTTATTGTGCATTGTGCTCAGAAACAGGAACCAATGCTTGTGTCTGCCACGAAACAGCTTCAGGAACGAATGGCGTGCTCAGCGATGTATACATTTCGGGCGGCAAACAACCCGATTGGTGATGTACCTTGTTTTTATTTCGTTGCATGCTTCCTAAAGCAAAGATGAACCGGAAAACACAGGAATTACTTGGCAAAGGGAAGGGGACTTCTGAAACCCAATTCTGGAAGCCAGAAATCTTGGCCCTTGGCATGATTGCTCGTGGGAATCGGGTTCGTCAAAACGCCGTGAAAATTGTTTGGTGATGGGCGCTGGCCCGTTATTGGCATAAACATTGCCCAAATACCCACAAGGTAAGCGTGCGGCAACCGTGAACATTGGATGTTCAACCAACCCAAATGTATGGCAATTGTGTGGGTCCCTCAGGGCCACACGAGCAAACGGACATCCAAAACGGGTTGTTGTACCTCCGCATTTTCCACCACGATTTTTCAAGTGCCCTCGCGACGCTACCTGCAACTTGGTGAAGGACATGGTCTCTGACTATGACTGGGAACGCTGAGAAATCCGGCTACGCCGCCGTTGCCCCGCCCGAAAGGCAAGCAGCGCTACGTCTTCGTTGGCACCTGCCAGCATCATCAAACCGCCAATTCTTCATGCGTGTGGGGGATGCGAATCATGGGTGAGAACGTTATCCCGCGCTCCAAAAATTTAAGCCCGCGCCTTGCAATTTTTTTTCCGGACTTTTACGTCTGCACGACCAGTCCTGTCTGTCTCTCTACGGGTGTGCGGTGCCAGAACTAGGGGCGGTCCTATGTCAGGGCCGCAAGGGCAGCCGGCTGGGCCCGCAATCGGCCGCGAGGTCCAGCACGCGGTCGAGCGGTGGGTCGGCTCCTGGCGCGCACGGTTGCGCTGCAGCCGGCCACTGGCGGCTGTAAAAGCTGTTCCTGCGACCGCTGGCTGAACCGCCCCACCAGCGGCGGGCCCAGCTGGATGACACCGCGGCTCGGATTGCAGGTAGGTGTGGTGAGCCCGAAGGCGCGCACCACGTCCTTGACCAAACTTTGCGCTCCGGCATTCCATCCGGGCTTGTAAGAGGGGACACCAAAGTAGCATCACAGCAGAGCGCATTGCCCTGCGCTGTTGCGCCGCTGCACGCCCGGGGCCGTCGTGTGGGCGAGGCACTGCTGTGGCACGACCTGTCCTTCGGCGCCAACAGCGTCACGTGCCACGCGCACCCACACCCGCTCAGGAACCTTGGCGCGCCTGGCCAGAAGACCTGACTTGGGGCAGGCGAGAGCGTGGTCGCCGAACCCGTCCCAGGTCCCGCCGCAACCTGGGCTGGCACCGCACTTGTTAGAGCTGTGTGGCAGGCGCTAGCCGCAGGCGTCTGCGCAGCGCAACTTGCATGGTTTGTGCATGCCGAGTGGTGGCGGGCTCAGCCGGGACAGCGGCGAGCCACGCTCCGGCGTGAGGACCCGCTTGCGAGCGGAGCGGAGCCTGGGAGCTAGGCGACAGAGTTGGCATGAGCACGCGATCGCGATAGTGTGTGTTTTGGATCCGAATCGCGTGACATTGCCAACCGTGTGGCCGCTCACCCGGGCTTGCTTCGCCTGAGGCAACGGGGCGCTGGCCATCGAGGGCCGTGCGCCAACTGGGGCAGTCTGTCCACCCCGCGGCTTGCAGGGCACACCTGGCCTCCGCCGCCTCGCGCAAGCAAATGGCGTGGCCGCCTCCGTCTACCAAGCACAGCATGCATTGCCGCGTGTTCTGGAACCCGTTCTCGCAGGACGGGCAGGGCGTCGGCCCACGCTGCCCAGTACGCCGCCGGCGCAGCCCGCTCAGCCGACTGGAGGCCTAAGCCGCCCAAGGCTGCAGGGAGTGAAGCCAGTGCCCGTGCGTGGCCTGCATCTTCATCGCGCACCTCTCCCAAGCATTTCCCGAGCGCCTTCCAAATGGCCTCGTCATGTGCCCGGGCATACGCCGCAGACTCGGACGGGGGCATCGTCCGCAGAGCATGGTTTGCCCGGGCGGATGCGCACATAAGAAGCAAGAGCCAGGCACATTGCAGGTCTGGCGAGTGCGGCAAGTGGTCCAGAAGGTCGCGCTCCGCGTGCGTGCCCCAGGGGCGTGCCCAGGACGACGATGCCGCGCTCAGCCTCGGGCTTGTCGCTTCGCCGCACGGCCCCGCCAAGCTCCGCGATGCCTGGCGGGGCGGGGCCAGGCGCAGCGGCGATTGCTCGAGTTTTGCCCAGGTTGGACGCAATTCCGCCGCGGGCCGCGACGGTCCCTGTGACCTCATCCAGCGCTTCGCGTGTTTGGGCGACCCTCCTTGTCATCATGTGTCTGTAGCTGCCCGAACCCCTTGTCTCGGCCCGCAAAAGGTTGAGGTGGACAACACAAGAAATAGATTGCAACACCCTCTTGTGTCTCTGCTCGCCTCCCTCCACCATGGAGGCGTGGGGCTTTTTTTTCAACGGACCTTTTTGCAGACAGTTACTGCGGTCCCAGTGCAGATAGCTCACGGGCGATGTGAACAAATCCACCGGCAGGGGCTGGCGAAAGGAAGGATCTCAGGCGAGTCCACAAGGAGATTGCTGATGAGGGGCTAGTTGCTATCAACATTGCCAGTGCCTTCCACGGAAAGGCCACGGGGCCTGGCGGCAGAGGCACGTGCGGATGTGATGGACAAAATTGCCGACCAGCGAAATGCAACGGCGGAGGTGCACGCTGCGCGAGAAGGGGCCGGCACCGCCCGAGCGCGGCAGCGTGCGAACAGGGGGACGAAAGTGGCTGCTTCGGAACTCCACCGGCCACCAACTTCGATGCCAAGGACGTCGAGATATTGCTTCCCGGCGCCACGAGCAAAATGAACAAGGCAGGACAGGCAATTTTTTTTTTGGACAGGCAATCAATTGCAAAAGCCCCCAACCCCCCTCTGCATTATTTTGCCAGCGCCTTTGACCAGGTCTTTTCTCGGTGCAGATATGAAAGCCGCATCGGAGATTGATAGGTCAAGCCTCGTGTCCAAACACATGCAAGCGATGCGGATTGTTGCACATCAAAATCTGTACCAGCTACAGCTAAGGCACTGCAAAACAAAATTGTGCACCCTTGTTTTTTGCGAGCGTACGACCACGTACACAACAAGACTGTAGTTTGCATGTTTGTTTCTTGTAGTTGTGAAAACCATGACTGTGATTCCGGAGCCTCTCAGGTTCGTTGCTAGCAGTGTGGAAGGACTTGCGTCTGTAGTTTTCGTTGTTTTGAGCCCAATACGATTGTCACTGCGTAGCCCCGCGCTTATGGTCACGCGGAGCTGATAGCATCCAAGGCGACTGAACAGCGGGGTTCCGGGTCAGCCAAACCCTGGGCATCGCCCAAGGCGGAATCGTAACAACACTGCAAACAGGACTGTGTCGGCCGACCAGCCAAATACAGAGCCTGCCACTTTGCACCTGCAGAAGGGCAAGGGTTCCAAAGGCAAAGGTAAGACAGGTTCCTGCAAAGGCGAAGGGCCAGCCGAAGGCACACGTGCTGTCAAGAAACGCGCTCGCAAGCGTGCTCCTCAGACAGGTAGGTGTGTCCGCTCCAAAAGGAGGTCAGCCAAAGCTGAAAACAAGCGTGCTCTGCGGAAACGTGTCCACCAGCTAAAGACACAGATCCAGCAAGACACCCTCACCCACAAGAGTCGTGCCGTTGACTCATTCCCTGATCCCGTGAAATTTGAAGCCTCTTCAGACAACCAGTCTCAGTGCTCAGCAGCCGACAGGCAGTCATCTTCCTCGGACGAATCGTCTTTGAGTTTTTAGGTCGCAACCTCCGGCCACAGCGCCGTGGAGTGTTTGATATCTTGCCTGAAAGGTTTGAGCCGCACAATTAAGGTTACGTAAAGGGGTTAAGGCCATTTAAACAGGTGGTTAAGCTCTAGTTGCGTTTCATGGTTTGCCATCCTGCCCAAAAGAAGCAGCAATGGCGAACCTTGAACAGCAAGTGCAAGTGTTGACCAGTCAAATTCAACAGTTGACTGCTCAACTCAGCTCGCAACAACAAGAGCTGGGCAACACTCGTGCTGCATTGGAGCAGCAAACTCAAGCAACAAGTGCCGCCTTGTCGCTGGCCCAAGCAGCCATCACGCAACTCACAAGAGGCAGCCAGCCAACGCAAGCTGCCGAATCCACACGCAAACCGTTGAACCCCAGCTGGTAAAAGCTCCAGAACCGTTTCTGGGCACAGAAGCTGGAACGGTTCAATTTTTTTTTTTTCTTCGGACCTTTTTGTGTCTGCCAATCTGGGTCCTGGTCAGCTA